GAAGTAGAGGAAAAAGCACATGGAGGGTGTGGTTTAACTAACTTTGTATTTTGCCACACGCTGTTTTCATTTACAGCTATGTCTGATAAATGAACACGTTTGACATCACTGATAAATATAATACTATCCAGGGCCTACCAGAAAGCCAGGGTGCTGGGGCTCGGCTAAAGCTTCTGCCCATGGCATCTGCTTGGGGAAGGGGAGGCAAGTATATTTTTCTTCTTAGTAAAATTATCTGCCAGAGAAACAACGAAGTGTGAAAAAGTACTATTTAGAGTGTGCATGTCTACATATGTTTCAAAAACGCTAGCTGCTACCTTCTGGGAAACTTCTCTCCCTATAAATGTACATATAGATCTCCTTTAAATTTCAGTGGATTTTAAAAACTAATCTTGCAGGTTGAAAACAATGGCACCTATTTAGTTTCGTGCACCGTGAGGCCAGAAGCACCCGTGTGCTTTCCTCTAGGTTGGCACAGAAAGATCCTCAGACCAGAGGCAGAGTTCATAGCATGGAGGTTATACACCTACTACCCTTCCTCTCTAACACAATCATTTTTCTGCAAAAAGGAGACTAAACGGAAGTCAGGGGCAGGGTGTGCTCTAAGGCTGCAAACGATAATAATGAATTTTTAATGTACAGTTCTCACATAAATGTCTCTTTGTGAATACACTGTAAGTACACACTGCTGGGGCTTCCAAAATGTGGCGTGTCCCACTGACGGCTCCAACTTGCGAGTGGGCTCGGTTCTGTAATTGGAATGAAAGGAATTTTAACACTATTTAGACAAAGACTCAGATGCAGTGGAAAGGAAAAGCTAGATTTCCTTACAGAATTTATTTATTTTTTAATTTAGAGACTTATTTCTACTAGGGGCACTTAGGCAGAATTTAGGATTTCTTTGTTAAAAAAAAAAAAAAAAAACCACCACCACCACCCAAAACACATGTGTTTGTTTTTGCCTCTCATACTACATTTCAAAGTTTTTAGTCATGGTTCTATCTAAAACTGCCTTTCACTAAGGAGTTAACCTTCTCTTAAAGCCAGTCACCCAAACCCCATTTTCTACAGCATCTGCTTTCTAATGTTTGGGGCCCAAACCCACTTATTATAGTGAACTGCCTTGTTGAGTCCTATCAAAATGCTTACTTGTGGCACAACTGTTTTTCTCCCAAGTCCTGTTCCTCAGGAGGTGACTGCAGTGAGTCCATCCTGAATGGCACTCTTATTTTCAGAATGTGTTTGCCTAAAAGCTTTTCATCTGATGCTGAGCTTTTTGCATAAATGATATATCTCTGTTTCTGCCCCTGGAGGGGGAAACTGCCTATCTCCTCGTTGGGATCAGAGAAAAAAAAACCCAAACCTTGGAAGCAGAGAAGAGCTAACTTCAAGCACATGGAAGTACGTTTACTATGAAGACTTGTGTTAAGCAAAATTACGTGTCGAGTCAGGAGTTCTATCCAAACTGGCACATAAAGGAAGGTCAAAATGCAGTGGGTATACACTGTCTTCGCGTTCTGTGAAAAGGGGAAGGAAGACAGGATGATCAACTGCCCAGAACTCATCCGCGCCAAGCACAACCTGTTTTCTTCAAAATAAGGCCTTCGTTCAGAGTTGCAGTATTATCTTAAAAAAAACAAAACAAAAACAAAAAACACCAAAAACAAAATAAAATGAAAGTCATCGTGTTTGGCTACATTTTCAAAACAGTATTGGCTTTGTCTAACATTCTTTTAGCATTCTAGGGGAAGTTGATGAGGAGTGCAAACTGCATGAATTTGTAACATTAGTTGCATGAATTTATGTCATTTTAAAATAGGTCAACGCCGTTAGTGAAGGTAGCTCAACACTTTCCAAGTCATCTCTGAAACGAGCCTCCAATACACAGCCTGTCTGGGGGTAAATACTGATTAGAGCACAGCCTTGATTCTATCAAGGCATTACTTTTTGCTGATATTTCTGGAGTTAAGGTGATTTGAAATCATCGTCAGCTTGTCTAAGTGGAGAGGCCCCCTCTGCTAAATACTCACAGTGAAATGTGATTTAATAACACAGTTTTAAACCCAGATATGTACTTGGGGTTATGTAAGTAAGGGGTGGGTTTTTCTTTTTCCTATTTAAGACAAATGACCTTCAAAGTTAAAAACAAACAAACAATTTGATTTGTCGAAAGTGTTGATGTTAAGTTGGGTCAGGCCTTGCTAACAAGAAAATCATGGTGTATGAGAAGGAAAAATAATCAATTTTAGCCAAAAGGCAAGAATTGTTTATCTTTACCATTAAATGCATATGTGCCCAAGCCACCTCCTGCCATGACTTCTTTGCTTGGCCCATTTCTCTCTAGATGGGCTTGCTGCTGGACCAGAAGCTGAGGACAATGCTGAGAAGGCCCTACTCTCTGGTTGGGATTTTTGTTTGTTTGTTTTCACCAGAAGGCAATGATGTCTCAACTCACTTGAAAACTGAAAACTTTGTTGAGGGGGAGAGGGAGGGATGCATTTTGAGAGGTCATAATTTACATTTATATTAAATATTGCTAATTATTCAAAGGGACTGGCCTCCCACCTCACAAAATAGCCTATGTTTCACCCTGACTTATTGCCTCCCTACACCTCCATTAATTCTTCCTTTGGAGAAAAGGATGCATTTTACACTTCTAATGCGGTTTTGGGCCCAGTTAAACTGTACACTAAGAAACTGAGCACAGAATCAAAAAAAAATGCAGTTTATTATTGTAGATTATTCTTTCTCTTGATATAACCAGAATTGAAAATGAAAGAAAAGCACATAGGAACATCACGCGTGGTTAGTTAGTAACTCAAGATATAAAACAATTTTGCACAGCAAAATATGTAAAAGAAAAGTAACTGACAAGATTTTTTTATATTTATTGTGGTAAGATTTACTTTTCATTTTTTTTTTTTTTAAAGACAGGATGTCAGTCCCTGAAAATAACATTTACTGATTATTGCCTTTAAAACTGTGGATTTTTTTTAAGTTACAGAAAATCCAGTTCTGCACCACAATACAACTGTAAAAAAATCTGCATCATCTTAAAACTGTGCAGTAATGCCATTTTTATAACTGCATAAATTTTATTAGCGTTCTAAACAGTTTTGCAAATTTTTTTTGTATTATATGCTTGCAGGTTATATCTTAGTGCAATTCAGTCCCAAATACTTTAAATTTGAAAAAAAAAACATACATTTTGAATGTAAAATACCCCTACAGATATAAACAGGGGTGTTTCCCCTTTAATACTTTGGTTTTCAATACAGTCAGTGGTATAGCAGAGACTACACATACCCAACTTATATTTAAGTTGCAAGCACATGCTGTATAAGCTACTTTTTTTTTAAACAGTCCCCTTGCAAACTCTACCCCCCTTAACATCACAACAGTAAACAATTTAGTGCATCAATCTTTTAAAAAATCTACAGCTAAACAGACCTAACTCTTTCAAATTTATCTATAACATTCCTTTATCTGTAGCATACATTTTAACTGGGCTAACAGATTATAAAAACTAGAATTAAATTATATACTAGAAACCCATAGCATTCCACATTTGACAATGACCAAAAGCCAAAAAAAATAAAAATAAAAATAAAACAAACCAAAAATAACGGGGCAGATTTCTTTTTTTCTTAAAAAATAAATTTTAGACTGCTTTCCACAACAGCACAATTTTAGTCCCCAAAGTGGGGTGTCATTCTTATTAAAAAGAAAACATTAAGAGTTCTTTTAATGTTTGCCATGTTAAATTTTTAACCCATTCTGGCATCTTTGACAAGGAATGCCTTCAGTGCATTTACAATGGGAGGCTGAAGTTCTCAGTAACTCAAAGCAGTTTTGGAGCAGATGCAAACTTTCATGGGAAGAAGGCTCTAGGGTGGCACTTTTTTGTTCTGAACTCAAAAAAGTCATGAGGCAATTAAAACAAAAGTATGAATGCCATGCCATAAGTCGTCGAACGTCCATTTCCAAGCCAAAAGGAAAAAAAAGAAAAAAAAATAATTATACCATACATGTCCAGCATGCAGGCTTTTTTTTTATTAATATAATGTCTCTTTTCCATAAAGTCTTTGAAACAGTTATAGTTCATTGTTGCTAAGACAAAGTAGCAAGCATAATAATGCATGAGATGAGAATGAGTTTTTTAATGGCAGACTAAACTCTCAGATTTGGCATGATAAGGCCAAAACTCACAAGTCACACCCAGAAGGTTGATGCAGGCTTGATTGTGGCAGGTTCATGAGGATTTTTTTTCTCTAGTTTAGCATAACAATGCTAAAAAACCCCGATGGAACTCAGCGCGCTGCAAGTCTATAACATTTCACATTTTTTTTCCTTTGCAAGCTCAATCTCACATGAAGAACTCAGGAGGAGGAAAAAAAAAACTTAGCTTTTTTTTTTTTTTCTTTTATCTCTGAGGAGATGGGTGAAGAGGGCATGAGGGTGGAGGTTGGGAAATAGGGCAACACAGCAAGCTCCAAAAAGTAAAATTAAAAAAAAAATCCAAACAAAATAAAACACACACACACAGAAATGAACACCAGCTCATGAACTGAAGAAGAAGAAAAAAAAAAAAAAAAAACACTGTGAATGATGTAGGCTTCAAAGGTGAGCATGAAGAACTCTGCTGAGATCTTTGAACATTGTGTGTGTGGGGGGGGTGTAAAAAAAACAAGCTAGCAAGTTATGGAGAATTTCAAATTGGCAATCCATGAGCCAGACATCCACTCCCTCCCCATTTAAAAACAGCCACCACCACCGCCAACTGGGAGCAGGGTGTGTGTGTGTTGTGTGTGTGTTGGGTGTGTATGCGCGCGCGCGCGCGTGTTTGTGTATGTGTGTGTGCAGGGGCATTGGGCAATCTCCGCAGGGGAGGGGGCGAGGTGGCGGCGAGCACGGCTCTGGAACTAGCAAGCCCACACCCGAGTCGGACCCCCACGGAGCACTTATCAAGGTGGCTAGCTGGGATCGCGTGTCAGACTCACATGAAAAACTCGGGAGAGGACGGGTTGTCGCTGCTGGAGCCGTTTTCTCGGAAGCCGCTGCTCACCAACTTCTCGTATTTCTCCTTGTACGCGTCCCTCTCGCGCACCAGCCTGGAGATCTCCTGCTTGAGGTGGTCGACCTGCTGCAGCAGCTGGTTCTTCTCGGACTCCAGGACGTGTCTCTGCTGCACCCTCTTGAAGCGGCAGGACTGGGCATAGCCACGGTTTTTCAGGGTCCGCCTCTTCTGCTTCAGCCGGATCACCTCCTCCTTGCTGACCCCGCGCAGCTGCCGGTTCAGCTCGCGCACCGACATGGTCACCAGCTGCTCGTCGGAGAAGCGGTCGTCGAAGTG